AAAAGTAAGTACACCCCTAAGTGACTCACCAAAAAGAGCTGGAATAACCATAACTAATCTGTGTATCTTTGATTCCTATACGTGTACACATTTTTATGTGACCTGATGTTGTCATGCCAACTGGTCACTCACATCACGATTGCACTGAATAAATAAATAAATAAATAAATAATAACAATAATGATGATAATAATAATAATGTAACTCCTGTTCTACTAAGTCGAGCAGTGTGAATGTGAGTTCTTCTGGCGTGTGGTATTCATGTTGCACAATGATGAATAATTGCTGCATATTTCTCTGTAAATGCTGCTGATGTCCAGTGATGAATAATTAGTAAGATTCGATAGTAATAGTAGTCTGCACTTATTTTTAAACTCTCTGTAAGGTGTTTTATGTCTATTACAGATGTGATATCTGAGTCCTTCACATTAGAATCAGATGGTGAATAGTTAATGTTGAATTGGGGTTTTGTATGGAGTACGAGTGTCTGGATTAGGCAGCGTTGCATAAAGGTTCCTTTTGCTGACATGTTGTGATGACGTGTCTCTCAGTGCAGTGAGTTTGTGAGTTAGTTTAATTACAGTCTCTTTGCAACACTGTAGTTTGAAGTGATTTATTTATTTCCTGAAGCGTAGATGGGTGAATAGAATAAAACAGGTGTGTGAATATACAAATATATATATTATACAGTGTGATATGGATATGTCTTACAAAGTATACGAGCTGTAGTATTTAAATAATACAGTGCGAATTGAATAATAATAAATGAGAATATAATACAGTGAGAATTGATAAATCTTTATACTGTAGCTGTGACTGAGCTGTGAACTGGATGCAGGTGTGTGTGATCTGGGAATTGCAGTTCATGGCAGCCATGTTTGAGGACCGCAGTGCAGGATGGGAAATGTAGTTTGTGACATGAGTAGACTTAACACTACCTTAATATGATCAAATACAGTTTAAATGAAATGGATACATTTATAGAGGGATTTTATTCCTTTCACAAATGGGCGCTCAGCAAAGGAAACAAATCGGTGTTAAATTGAAACAAAGCTCATATATGATACATTTTATGTTAGACTGAGCTGAAGATATTTACACATTACTCCTAATTATATATATTTAAAATAAAGGGAACAAAGTTAAAGGTGTCATGTATGAAGAGTCTGAGTGATATTTGGAGTGTGGTACAGTTGTAAAGGGACAGAGGGTGCATGCGTGTCTACCATTTAAACTAAACACTATTGTTTTGAAGAAAAATGACTGGGATAAAAGAGACTAGAGAACTGCAAATACATGTCTAGATCTCAACCTCGGCACTGTATTGTTAGTTCTGTATTATTGGGATGGGATATTAACATGTTAGGTTAGTGTACATCACAAATAGTCCTAGACCAAAGGAGTTTTGTTTTTAATTCACCAGAAGGATATTGAGAAAGGAACTCAGGAAGGGACTCCTTCCGCATGCACAGGAGTGTAAATGTTATCGGTCTGACAAACTTTTAGTGTTCCTTAAGCGGGAAAAGTCGCATTAATCTCTGTCCGGTTCTCCAGGTGATCTTCTCTGTGCCTCACCTGCAGCCGAAAAGAGCGCGACTCTCCCTTACGCTGATTTGACTCCTCCCCCTGACCTCTCACCTTTCCCACTGATTGGCTAACAGTTTAATATTTGATATCTTTCACATTTTCTATCATTTTCGTAGAACAAAGTAACTGTCACGTATCTGGAAACTCTGGACTCCATTTCGCAACAGCCACTGCACTGTACCACATGACCACATGCACCTGATTCACGTTTTGGTTAATGAGCACTCGTGTTTATCTAGTCCTTGTCTGCACTGGTTTCTGGTCTTTCGTTGTTGTAGACTCATGTCGTTTATGTCCGTGTTTTGTCTCATGCCACAAAGTTGTCTTAGTGTCTTTGTTTCGTAGTTTGTTTGTTATTATTAAATGTTAAATCTGCACTTGCTTCTGCCTCAACCGTGATTCGTGACAGAACGAAAGACCATTTTTTCGGAAGCAGACCAACTCCCACCCTCCCTCCCCTATTATGGCTCCGTTCAGCCGTCATGGTCAGTGGAGGACATCACTCTGCCTCCCTCTCACGTGAGCGATGACGCCTCCATCTCCTAACGGACTCAAGGATTCCCCACTGTTCAGCTACCTTAAAGTGCCTCAGCCTCCCTGTTCAGCTGTGGACGTCGCTCTGCCATCCTGCTTCACTGAGGACGTCACTTGCCTCCATGCTCCGCTGAAGACGCCGCCTTTCCTTTGCTGCGCCAGTGTGTCGCTCCCCTTCCTGCTCCACGGAGGATCGCCGTCTTCCTTCCTTGGGCCTCGTGGAGAACCTCACTCCCCGCGTGAGCCTCGCGGAGAACCTCGCCCTCGTGAGCCTCGCCGGAGACCCTCGCTGCCCCCGTGAGCCTCGCGGAGAACCTCGCTCCCCCCGTGAGCCACGCGGAGAACCTCGCTCCCCCCGTGAGCCTAGCGGAGAACCTCACTCCCCTAGTGAGCCTTGGCGGAGAACCTCACTCCCCGCGGAGCCTCGTATGGTACTTTGCTTCCCCCTTGAACCTCGTGGTGAAGCTTGCTCCGCTCTCCTATCCCGTGGAGGACGTCACCCCGCTTTCATGCTCTGCCAAGGACGTCCCTTTGCCTCCCTGTGCCGTTGTGGGATCCGCTCGGCCTCCTGGTTTTGAAGGGGACTTTTTGCCCAGAGGGCCGAGACCTCCAGATGGTGGACGTATGATTTTGGGCGCTCCGGGAGTAGCGCCCTTGGGGGAGGGTTCTGTCACGTATCTGGAAACTCTGGACTCCATTTCCCACTGCACCACATGACCACACTGCACTGCACCACATGACCACATGCACCTGATTCACGTTTTGGTTAATGAGGACTCGTGTTTATCTAGTCCTTGTCTGCACTGATTTCTCATCTTTCGTTGTTGTAGACTCATGTCGTTTATGTCTGTGTTTTGTCTAATGCCACAGTGTTTTGCCAAAGTTGTCTTAGTGTCTTTGTTTCGTAGTTATTATTATTATTAAATGTTAAATCTGCACTTGCTTCTGCCTCAACCGTGATTCGTGACAGTAACAATCTTTTCCACATGAATGTGTACATACAATTATTGAACATGGAAATACAGAGTCTGTGTATTTAAATTCGTACAAAACAAAAGGAAATATAACCGTGTATTTTCTACAGGGTTACATACATCTCACCATTTATTCCTAATTTGTGGAGTTTGATTAGAAGTCCATCTTTCCAAAGCACATCATACGCTTTTTACAGAATCCACTGTCCTGCTCCCTTTACGAAATCCTGACTGATACGGAGAGAGAAGACCTTTACTGTCTACATCGTGATCTAATCTATCTTTTATCGTCCCCTCTGTAGTTTTGTCTATCTGTGACGTTAATGCTAAGGGTCTGTAGCTTGCTGGATCTGCCAGGTTTGAGTATTGGAAATATAACTGCCTTTTCCATGTTAGTGGGATTTTTCCTGTATTCCATATCATATTGAACAGTTTTAATACTACATCAAGTGTGATGTCCCTCATGTGATCTAACATGCTATATCATATACCGTCTTTCCCTGGTGTCCTTTACCGTACATTTGATACGACCCTTTTTAATTCAAATAGAGTAAATGACAAGTCCACCTCTCCCCCTGATGTAGTCCTTCTTTCTTCGATCCCTGGGTTTTGGGCGAGTGTCTGATCTCGACACTGCTTACCTGTTGAGGATAGGTTTCCAGTAATGTGGATCTTCACACAAGTTTTTACCAAGAGTTCTGCTTTTTCTGCATTACTAATCACAGTTATATTATTGCTACTTAACACTGGTATTTCTACACTGTTTCTTATTCCGATCATTTTCCTAATTGTTCTCCATATGTCTGGGTTTCTCTTCCAATTTTACTGCAGAATTGTCTCCAATACCCACGCTTGGCTGATCTAATTGTTTTCCTAACTCCTGCTTGTGCACTTCTATAGTTAATCAAAGTTACCCGTGTATGGTGAGCTTTGAGTTGCCTAAAATCTTTATTTCTGTTTTTAATTACTATACTACAGCTCTCATTCCACCATGGCACGCTCTTTCTCTGTTTACTTCTGGTCTTGAGGAATTGTTTCTTCAGCTGCTTGTATAATTGCTGTAGTCACTCTTCTGTTCATTTCTTCTACTTCTGTAATATCCTTATTCACTAATTCCACACATTTTATTTCACTCAGCATTTGGAACATCTGCCAATCAGCTGTATCTAACCTCCACCTTGGTGTTCTCACTTCGCTACCCTGGTGTATCTCTACTCCAATCCTGGTTATTATTGGATAGTGATCACTACCTACTGTCAACTGGTCTAAAACCTCCCATGTGCTGATTCCTGCTATTTCAGTTGTCATTATTGTCAGTTTAATGGCACTTCCTGTGTTAAGTGAACTGCTATACCGTGTGTCCTTCCCGTCATTAACACATACCAGGTTTTTATCGTCTATAAATTCCTCTATTACTGATCCATTTGTGTTCTGCAGCTGATGAAGAACACAACTAACTACTGCTAATTACTGGTTAGTTAAGTTGCTCAACGAGGTGAGGTTAACTTATTTCATTTGCTTTATATTTTCTTCTTGGAAAAGATGCAAACAGACACAAAACGTGAAGTTGAAGAAGTGTTGCTTTATTGAAGCATAGGTATGCATACAGATGTTATCCTTTTTATGGAAGGATGTTATCCTTTTTATGGATGGATGGTGTTATCCATCCATCTTCTACCGCTTGCTCACGGGGAACCTGGAGCCTATCCCAGGGAGCATGGGGCACAAGGCGGGGTACACCCTGGACAGGGTGCAAGTCCATCACAGGGCACAATCACACACACACTCACACACACATTCATACACTACGGACACTTTAGACACGCCCATCAGGGGACGGAAACCGGAGAACACCCCGCAGCACGGGGAGAACATGCAAACTCCACACACACACACACACACACAGGACCACGGTGGGAGTCGAACCCCCGACCCTGGAGGTGTGAGGCGAACGTGCTAACCATTAAGCCACCATGATCAATTAAGTTATTAAGAACCTAGCAGCACCTCTCACTTTTTTATTAATTAAATCAAAACAAAGGTAAGAAAGAAAGAAGGAAAGAAAGAAAGATATGAATATGCAAAATTAAAAATATGCAAAGCTTACTCATCCTAAAGTTCTAAAAACAGTAGGAAATTGCAAATACTAATATTAAATTTGATTGTATAAAAATGTTAATAAAAAAAAGAAAGAAATACCACAGGGACTGTGTTGATATTTTACGCCGTGTGAGAGAGCTCCAGCAGATTAAAGTGAGGTATTTGACCATCTCCGTTTTCCCTGACTACACAGTCCAGACAGCCCGGGCCCGGGCCGCGGTTCGGCATCAACTTCGTGATATTGAGGGAGCTCGCTATGGAATACTTCATCCAGCTCGGCTTCACATTACATATAACGGAGTCCAGAAGGACTTTATTTCAGCAGAGGAAGCAGCAGAATACGTTAAACTCTTAAAACCGGGGTGAACTGTATCATCTACACAGTGTAGTGTTCTTTCTTTCTTTATTTGTTTTATTTTTATTATTATTATTATTTAATGTGATACACTGTGTAATATTATTAGTTATGTCTTTAAAAGGTAAGGACATTATATTAGGGGATTTTTCTCTTACTGGAATTTTTTAGTTTAGGTAATGTTGTTTAGCTTACTCTAGGTCCACTTTGTGGACAACCCTAGGGGTGAAACACTGCTGTCTATTAACTGCTGTAACTACTGTATATAAATCAATATGTATATATTTTAACATCACATCTTTGTTCCAGTTTTGAATACTAAAAAAATACACGGTTACACAAATGTGCCCAGACTTTGTGTGTCACATTCTGCACACATAATTAAGTCTGTTGAAACAAAAAACAAAAAAAAAAAAAACAAAAAAACAGAATTTAAACATTCACAGACATCTTTCCCTACCTACCAATGGGCCCTGTACATCAGGAGAGAGGGAGGAGCACTGATTGCATTAGAGGGTTGAGGGAATCTTCACTCCGAGTTTGACCCCCGGATCCTAACATCACCGGTTCCTCTCGGAGCACTCTCTCTGATGTGCCCACTTTCCCTTCCTGAAGTAGCAGTAAGGTGAAATCTCTGTTTCGAGTGACTAGGTTGCCTGTGCAACTTCACAATATCTAGCACTCTTGTCTGCTTCAGTCAGGCCAACAAGTTCACCAATACAAGCTATATACTATAATAATAATAATAATAATAATAATAATAATAATAACAACAACTAAAATAAAAAAGAGCTGACATGAACATGCTCTTAAATATTATATACTTTATGTATATATACATATATTTGTACAGTGTGTATAACAGCAAACCGGAGCGTAACAGAAAGAAAGAAAAGAAAAGCTTACACGCTCGGCTCCTGCTGATCTTCTTATAGACCATGGATAGCGCTGTTAGCCTCGTGCCCACACGGCATTTCCTGTAATAAACAGAGACCTTACACTAACAGCAGGAACTTTAGGACCCTGTGAGTTGGGTTCTACGCTCTACATTGTGACTGTAACTGAGCTCAAATCAGAAGAATGTACTGCATGTCATTCTGTAAAACTACCTCTAAATATCAAATAATAACAGTAAACTTGAATCTGTTGTTTTTTAATGAGGCTAAAAGAAAATGTCATTTAAGTGTGATATTTACCTCCATCATCTCCATGGCCTTCCTCCACATCCATGGGCTCCTCCGTGGACTCGTAGACGTCCACTTCCATGGGCTCCTCCGTGGACTCGTGGACGTCCACTTCCATGGGCTCCTCCGTGGACTCGTAGTCGTCCAAGGCAATCTGCACGTTCATGGACTCGTGGACGTCCAAGGCAATCTGCACGTTCATGGCCTGGAAATGAAGGATTGTGAGTGGGTACATCAGCCAGTAGGCCAGGTTTTGCAACTAAGTTCTAATGTCTGTCAATTAATTAAAACAAACAACATATCTCTGTTTATCACAGGCTTAAAGAAGAGTGAAAATGCACAAGATAACAGAATCCTCACCAAGGGCCGTGAGGGCTGGAGTACGGTCTTCCCAGTGATAGTGAAGTGGAATACTGGATTCATTCTGCAAAATAATAAAACAAGTAGAACCTTTGATGAGAAGCCTTCTTAAGTATTATTTCACATTCTGCTGAAACAGACAGTATAATAAACATTATATTTCAGTCTGTGTAACACTGATGTGACCTAGCCTCTCTTTAACCCTTTGAGGTCGGAGTGAAAGCTGACTGAAATTGCTGGTTCTGTCGTGGTGTAAGATCTGTCTAAATTTCATTAACTTTACACACAAAGATCACAAAATATTCTACAGTCTGATTTTCAGTACAAACCCAGCTACAGTAATGTACAGACAGGACGTAGGTAAGATTCATACGCAGGTTATAAATTTGGTCTAAAAACACAGAGACTGTAAACTGTTGTCATGTCTGTGTGCAGAAATCCTGTAAAAACACACCTTATCCATCAGGGACAAACCGATTCTGTTACATAAACTGATCCACTGAGGTGCTGGGCATGGAAACATCTGAAAATACTGTAGTGACTGCAATCAGATGTAGAAATAAATGGATAAAAGTGTGGTGATGTCCTCACTTCTTCACTACCAAGAGGGTAAAGGCGGGACCAATCACTCGTCCTCACTGAATATGAATGAGCTGTGAACTTTTACCTGTTTACTATGCATACCTGAGCTCAGGTTACAGCCCCGCCCATCTCCATCCAACTTTCACAACTAAGCAATCATACAAGAGGAAAACAAACAATTCCACCATTATACACCCAATACAAGCAAATATCACATACATCACCTACATCGACCAATAAAAGCAATAACATCTCACTTACTGAAGAAGAAGAAGAAGAAGAAGAAGAAGAAGAAGAAGAAGAAGAAGAAGAAGTTCATTCTCCAGGAGACTTCGCTGCTCCATCTTCCAAAATAAATTGAAACCTGGAACAAGATGAATTATGTAAGAAATCTGTAAGAAATCCTTCTGATGGGACGTTTAACACTGACACATGGAAACTCTTTTTGAAGATACTTGAAGGCGTGGCCAGGTCACATGACTGCTACAAACAAATCCAGTCAGGTCTGGAGGACAGAAGCAGGATTCAGAAGTTCATTATCATATGATTTACATCACCGTTTATGTGCACGTGTTTAGCAGATCCTTTAATCCTGAACAACTTAGAACCAGTGAAAGCAGCTGAAGTAATGTGTAGTGAAGATAACCTGGAACATGGAGCATGAGGGCTGGAGTGGGACAGTCAGTAACCAAAAGGACAAAAATTCAGACCTGAGTGAGGGTCTAATTAAGAGCGTGGACAATAAACAGAATAAAGTTGAGACAAGGACATGTTTATATGATCAGAGAACGTACTGGAAGAACAGATCCATAGAATTGTTTGGAGAGTAAATCTGTGAAACCAGGTTGTGTGTATATGTGTGTGTGTGTGTGTGTGTGTGTATGTATGTGAGATGAAATGGGTGTTATGTGTGTATATGAACTTGTTCCAGAAGAATACAGTCTGAGAATCCAGTATCTTATAAATCACTGAGAGAAAACTCGTGTTGAATTTAATGATTGTAAATGTCAGTGTCAGTACTGCGGTGATGTCTCTGTAAGGTTAAAAATGTCATTTTAAGTTTATTTAATTGAATTGTCTTAGAGCAGTATCTCTGTCTGAACAACCGGTGAGGTATCAGAATAACCCGAACCTACAGGAGAACCAGTACAAGGTGGATATTTTCTTCTTTCCACCAGACCTTCCTCTGCCCCTGTGTCCTGTCCAACTGGAATAGAAAATCTGTCATCGGGAAACTTCAACCAAAACTTTTACTTGGGAAAGTCAGTGGAAGTCCAACTGACCAAAGAGTAAATCTGAGAGAACATGAAGTCTACTTCTTTAGCTCTGTCCCACTGCCGTGTGCCGAGTCTGTAAAAGATCTGACTGGGAAAAAGTGTCATTTCATATATAAAAAGTCTACACACCCCTCTAAAATTGTTCTTTTTTGTAATTTATGCATCTTTAATGTCATAAAACACCCAACAAACTTCCAGTGAAGAACAAAGAGAAAAGTTTTAGGGAATTCAGCACTCAGTGTTTTTGGATAAGAGTTCACAAACTTGGCACGTCTTCATTTGGCGATTTTATTCCACTTTCCCTTGCAATTCTTGCAGATCTATCAAATAGTGGTGGGATCTCGTGTGCCCAGTCCTCTTCAAGTTATTCTACAAGGTTGTTTTTTTTTTTTTTTTTTACATGTTTTTTAAATGTGGCCCATGATCAGACTAGAGACTGACAAAAAAATACATGCTCTTTATTTTAAATGAAAGATTAAGAAAGATAGTTTGCTAGTTATATCAGATCCTAATAGCAGGAAATTTAACTACCCTATACAATCTGCACCTCTGATTACCTCATGATCGACCCTGTAGCCAATCCCTAGCTCTAAATGGGCGAACCAGTACCCATTGACTCATGTACCAGGGAACTGATTGTCCTGCAGGAAATCCCATCATGCTCCATCATTGGGGCGTTATCTCAAGTTCTGTCCATGTTTGATATTCTGAAGCTCAAATTGCTCATCTCAAACATTTGTGGAGATCCTGCACCAACTGAGTGTTAATGTAACTGGGCATCAGCCCATCATCCTCAAAGCCTGAGTGCCCTTCGAGCAGTTTCACCAAACATTAAAGTCTTCTGTAAAGTTTGGCTCCAATACTCAGCTCTTAAAACTGTTCAAAACAAAAGAAACAAAGGGAATGGCCAGACTGCTTTGAGCTGTCATGAAGACTACAGTAACTCAAATAATGACTCTTTACAATCGTGCAGATCAAACAAGAACCTCAGAAAGTACAACATGTCTGATCTTGAAGTGGCTATAACAGCAGAAATCCAAACTGGTAAAGCTCACTTGGTCTTTTTGTCCTGTTCTGAGGGGTGTACAATGAAATAGCCAGGATTGGGAAGTATATTAAGA